TTTTTATCAACAACGGGATTCTTCTTGAGGCAACGAAGGAAAAAGCCCTCTATATAGTATATAAATTAAGAAGTAAACAGAATAGTAGTCAATATTGATTTGTAATAATAAATTCAGTGAAAAAAACCTACCTGTCCAGCCAAGTCTAGTAAGATATCCATGAGTTCCAGCTTCACAGAAATATCACACCACACACACACCAGCGTTGGAGGAAAGTAAGGTATTTACCTATACCATTTCTAAATAATATATGCATATATTAATGAAAGTATCCAAGAACTGAACAAGACCCTCAAAATTAAATTCTGAATCAAAAACTCGAGTCTGCAGAAATACAGTGACTTGCAATAGTAAATAGACATTTGCCAAATATGTTCGTGTATTCACTTTGAATAGTTCATTGTAGATTTAGGACATTCTTAGATTTAAGTAATTTTTTATTTTGGCAATTGAAATTTATATATTTTTTGAATTCAACATATTTTTACTCTGATAATTAAAACTGTTCTACATTTTCTAATATCAATTGTGTCTTTTTCCAAATTTATTCACAGGAAAATCTACAAGAAAAGTCAAATTTGGGTAAGTCATTGTTGTGTTTGTGCCTGAATCCACCTGAGAGGTTGAGAAAAATTTCTATACACTGAGGTATAGGATTTTGCCAAACAAATATTGAACACACAACAAGAAAAACAAACAAGAAGATTAATGAACTTCTGGCAGAATCTTCCAGGATTGGCTCACTGCAAGGCGTTTATTCACCCTTCGAACCTTGATATCAAATCGTTGTTGGACTACAGTAGGGATGAACTACGATGTCTAACAGGCCTTCTTACAGGTCACTGCCTTTTGAATCATCATATACAGAGACTCGGACTGTCGGAAGACAGTGTCTGTCGCCTCTGTTTGGAAAATGGTGAAACAGCAGAGCACATACTTTGTGCTTGCCCTGCTGGGGACCGAATCAGGTTTTCAGAGTTTAGCAGAGCCGTACTCTTACCATTTGACCTGAAAGACCACTCACCATACAAACTGATCGGCTTTGTTAAAAAGCTGGATTTATTTGGTCGAGTGTGAAAAGGTGTGAGCCACAATAAACCCTTGCGGGTTGTGGTGGAGGGTCGAACAGACCCACTCACTTTTGACCTAGAACGATATCATTTTTGCGCCATGGTTTCATATGCTCGATTGTTTTAACCATTGTATATGGTGAATGAGTGAATTAATATCTTTCGAGAATAATCAACATGACTATTTGGTAAATTTTTCATAGTAGTCTATGTTACAGGATTTTGAGAACTAACCAAAATTTTTGTTTTAGTCTTCAGTTGATTTTTGAAATGAGTGATGAGAAGACATTTCTGATCGTTTGTGGCTAGTTGGAATACTTGATCACATATGCATTCAAAAATGAAGTGAAGTAGTATGCTATTACCAATATAATCAGGAATCAGTGAAAATAATTTAGATAGTTTATATGGTTCAATTTCTGGTGGATCTCATTGTGTTTGTTTTCAGTCAAATGAAAGTACTAGATGGTGCACTTTCCTTTCTTCAGCATTATATTTTTTTCAATTTGAATTTTTTCAGCTACATGAAAAACACAGTTGTTTGGGTGAAAATGGAATGGATAAGAGAACTCTAGACTCATTTGAGGTGATGAAACGAAGTCACTTATACTTACGATGTGGTTTGGAATCTTCTGCCAGGGGCTCCACTAGGTGTTCCAATCCTCAGGAGATTCTAACACTGTTTGATAATTGGGGTTCTCGTGGGATTCGCTATTTGGGGTTTCATCGGGTGTTCTTGAGGGAGTTTTTCTTTTTCCTTGCGTTTTGTGGTGCGTTGTCTTGATTGCGGATAATGAAATCCTTCTTCATAAAGTCACAGCACCAGAGGACGAGTAACGGCTGGAGACCTGCGAGTGTTTTCTCAGCATCGAAGAGACTGTCTTTTCACTTAGGGTGCTTTCGGTCCTTACTTCTTGAAGATCTGGAGATCATCGTAAGAATTATCTGGTGTCACATGTTTCCTCGTTTCACTTTGGAATGTCTAGAAAATCTATGGACTGCGCCATCAGTTATATTTGAGTTTCTCAAATTATTACAATATGCCAAGATAAAATATAAACTCGTCGAAGTTGAAATACTTGCGTGGCTGAAAGAATTATGAGGCTTTTGCGTTTTCTCGTTTTATAGCTTTACCTCACTTGGAACTTCTTTGTGTTCTGTTTTCGGATTTCCAAAATTCTTGATAGAGCTGGATTGTGTAATTCCTACGAAGTTGTGGAATTAGCCGAGGTGGTAGTGCGCCCGACTCACGATCAGAAGGCCGTGGATTCGATGCCCGCCTCGACCAGATATTTTTCTCTAGAGAATTTATCTGGTGTAAGCTGGAATGATTCTGCAATCGTGTTAGAAATCATACGTTAAAAGGTAAGACCTCGTTAGTCCTTAGCTCGCACAAGTTTCTCAACTTCTGAGAGTTGCCGTTCGTATGGGGGCGACAGCTGATTAACGGAAAAACAGATTTTAAACAGATTTTTTGAAATGAGACAATTTATTTTTGCATAAAATATTTATGTAGATTGAGGAGAACAAAATCCTATTTTCGGTAGGATATGTAGGATGTTATCAAAAAAAGGTTTTGGAAGCTATACTCAAATATTTATATTTGACTGAATAGCAGATTATTATTCGTAAAACTGAAATTCCAAGAACCACAAAATTAGGATCACAAATAGAAATAATCGTGTATTGTTTAGAGTTTTCAGTAATATTTGATATCAGGGGGTAACAACAGAATCATAAGATGGTAAATGGAAACGTAGAGGGATTCGGTCAGATAATTCACAAATACATTTAATCATATATATGTTATATATTGTAATTGATTTGTGTTTGAATAATTGAGGGCCCTGAAATTTAAAATACTCTGGAGGTTTTTTCATGAATGATTTTGTGTAAATTATAAGGAGTGTATTTTTAGCCGGAATTAACTTTTGGAGAAAAAAGGTTTTAATCTCTACTTCATCATTTTTATACTTCATATGCTTCCTTTGGCACTTTCTTAGATTTTTGTAGGTATAAAGATGGAGAAGTAGAATAAAGCCATAACTTTCTTTCACACGATTTTGTAATTTTGTATTTTTTCAATTGGTACTTTTTTAATTTCTGAAGTTTGAATATGTTTTGCTTATCTATTCTTTCCTGAGGAAATTTTCCAAACTTGATAAATCTCTCGTGATACTCGAAATTATCAAGGTGTGAAAATGCCGGAATGCACCTACATTCCATGAATGAATGTTAAGTGATATTAAATACAGCTTCGATCCGCGTGGTCTTGAATAAGCGGAACTACTTCAAATAATAAAGAAAGTACGACTGGAGTGAAAGTCTTTTTATGAGAAATAAAACCGAGCCACTATGTGTTTATCTAATACCGCAATCTATACTTAATCAAAATATGCTAAAGTCGAATAATTTGAAATTAGTAGGTATTACCAAACTTAATATTTGGTAATTCATTGTGTAAGTCAGATAAATCTTAGATTTGTCAGCCATGGATAGGTGAAAAAATTAGGCTCCATATACAAATAGTAACTGAAATGTATTATTATTTATTC